GATCGTACTGGCCCACCTTATGCTCGGCATTGATCAGAGCCTGAATCTCGGGCTGCTCAAAGGCAAAGTCCGTGCTATGCACGCCCATCACCTGCAGCATACGCAGGAATTTCAGGCTAGACACATCCGCCATATCCAAAATTATTTCTCTGTTCGACATTTGCTTTACTGCGAATAAATATATATAGATATATATTAATCTATCTATTATTTATTAAATTATATCTATTTTGTGTCTGTTATCGACTCACTATCTGTCCACATATCGTATTGTGGCAGCACAATTTCCTTATAATTAGCTCCCAGGTTCTCTTTGGCCAGTGAAAAAGGCGTGATAAAAGTCACCTACAACAGAAAGTGTTAATCAAGTGAATATTTAAATCAGTTTCTGTTTTCAATTTCAACCTCATGTCCGCGCTTGACCAGTTCCCTGATGATCGAGTTTGTCATCATAAAATGACTTTTGCCGGGAAGGAAAAACGCAGCCAGAATTCGTGAACCAGCCGTAAAGTGTATTTCCTGAAGGGCCAATAGACTCAGCAGCATAAAATGAAGCGCCCATCTTAAATTCTGGAATTAAAAGAAAATAAAATGAAATAAAAGTAGTTGGAAGAATTGAACACGGTTCTTGATAAAGAAAAAACGAATCAAAAATCGATATTTATTGATTTAAGAGGAATTTGAATTTCGAACTTAAAGTAAACATTATTGATATATCAAATCTGGTCTAGCTCTTAAAGTTATCGATAACTAAATGAAACTTAAATGTAAACTTAATTTATTCAAATTTTGTCTTTGAGATCTGTAAGAACTTCAGACGGATAGAAGACAGGTTAGACAGATCAAAATGGCTTGATCGATATTTATTAATATCACTCGAATTTGTGTGAATTTATCAATAACTCCATTCAGACTAGCCCACAAATTTCTCGATAACTCATATTAAACTTTATTCTTATGTCAAATAATTCCAGTGTGCAATAGGTTCTTACTGACAGATAGACGTCTGGTGGTCTAAAATGATTTGTCGTTTCGAGCTAGTATATAAATTATTTATGGGCGTGACAAGGCTGCTTCTGCCTCTTGTTGGCAACTAATTTTCTAACTTATTTTCAGTACTTGACCCATAATTAATCAGTTAACATTGCTCATGAAGGGTTAATCGATAAGAACGGCATGCACGCGTTCAAAGCGTGATCCAAAATACATACCATTTCGCAATCTCCCGTGCTGGAAGTGGTTCGAACTGTGCCTCGAGCTGTGGCTATGCTAGAACTGAAATTCAATAGATCTCTGTGTATTACACGTTTAATATATTCCCATATTTGCCGGCTGAGCTGATAACCTGGTAAACAAAACTTTCAAGAGAGAGAGAGAGAGAGAGATTAGATTGAGGCGAACGTTCTCTTAATTTGATAAGAAATCGAAGGTCTATTAAAGAGCTAAAGAGTATTTAAGAGGTGTGTTCAATGTACGTTAGACATATATCTGTATATGTATACAAGAGACTTCGTCATGGAGGAATATTTATATATTTGCCTACCTGTCTACTTCCATCAAATTAAAAACCTTTATATCTCGTAGCATTTTCTTAATTTTCAGTATATCAAATCTTTAAAGTGCCAGCTTTAAGTACGGAAATTTTTACTAAAATCAGCAAAAAAAAACATGAAAGTTGTATGAGAATAAATTGTACAGAGGTGAGGCATGCAAATGTTTCTTACAGTTTTTACAGGGTATTCCCCAGCCGCGCACTCTCTGTCTATTTGGTTGGCTCAGCTTTTCTTTGCATTAGTTTTTTATGAACTTCCCAGACAAATTAGGCGAAACGTTAGGAAATCGTAAATTAATCATAGCCATTTGTCTAAATCAAATATTTGTTTGCCGGTTGCTGTAAAAAGTTGCCACCCACAAACAGGGGCAGGGGCAGGGGGCGAAGGAAGGGGCGCGGAATGGGGCAGGGGGCAGGACTCTGCCCTCAACTGGAAATGTTCCATGTACACGTACTTGCTTTACGAAGCGCTTAGTTCGCGGCTGATGCACTTAGAGAAACAGTCGAGCAATTTGTTAGGCGCGAAAGTGTTTAAATTGGGAATGATATTTTTATTTCAAGAACTCGTTTTAATCTAAAAATGTGGAATACTTAAAAATACAGTTTAGTTTAATACTAAAATGAAATGTACTTAAATATTTTAGTAATATTTTCTAATAGCGTTTTTTTTCGAAATTTTGGTAATGATTATGATTATGTTAATAGAGATATTTTTTGCAATAATGTATATTTTCGAAAACAATTTTGATTGCTTGAGGGAAATCATTTTTTTAAGTGTACTTTATTTGAGTAATGCTTACATTAAGTATGTAAATTCTTTTAATAAGTATATATTACTTAATCATATGCATATTGAAAAATAAATTCTTATGTTTAGATCTTGATAGGAATATTCGATATCAATATTGCATCTCAAATTTTGAAATGAAATTTATACAAAACCGTTGCGTTTTTTTTTCTAAGTGTATTGGCATGTATATGAGGTACATATTTTTAAAATGCAATAAAACTCAACGCGCCAATTTGTAGGCAATTAAATTTTATTTTCGTGTAGGAATTTTGATTTGGCGGCGATTCAAAATCGCGACTCTGACGTCCGGGTTCCGATAGAATTCAAATTGCCAATGATCATTAGACAAATGATAATCATTGGTCTAATGATGATCGGTTGCCATTGGGCTTATTGTTGTTTACACTGCAATATTTGTTGTTCTTCGCCCATTCGGCTGCAGATCTTCGTACTGTATTGGTCTTTAGCTGGATCTTTTATTTGTTGCCACATGCCGGGCGAATGATACTTTGTTTATTGGCACGAATTGGCCAAAATAAATGGCGTACGGAATTTTGTTGCGGTAAATCATTTGATTAGGCAGAACCTTGAGCTGGAGCAGCTCAAGTGGCATCCAGTGCACAATTCTAAATCCGCAATCATTGCAATTGATCTCCAACCCAATCTTCAGATTGGCCGCAAAATGCAGCCATAAATTCCGAGCCAAGTGTTCCATCAAATTGAGGCTTTTAAGCCTCCAGGCTGAAGTGGCATTCGGACTGGGCCAACAAATGCGCAATTAGCCGCTATTACATTAATAATACGCGTACTTGTCCATGCCATAATACCATAATACCACAATAATTGAAACTATTTGGTAAGCGGCAAATGGAAAATGGAAAATCGGAAAATAGAAACGAAATCAAATGAAATGAAAAGCGCACATTGGCCAAAGTGAATTGCTGGCCACTTAAGAGCTTCAACGTAACAAGAACAGAGAACTGGCCCACCGCTCACTCTCCCACTGCCTCCCCCTAGGTCTCTCGCTGACCTTCAGCCGCAATCGCAGTGTTCGCCTTGGTCAAATCTTGCAATCTTGATCCGGATCATTATGGGGGCATTGGCAATTTTTGCAGCCTCTTCCAGCTGGACTTCTGTCTGTGTCTTCTAAGAGGTAAAAAGTATTGGGTATTGTTGCAGCTTCCTTCATATGTACCTCTGCCTTGGCCTTTTGTGGGATACGTCTCGTGCGTCATAAAGACTCCATATTCTCTTACACATGCAGCACAGTTGGGGATCTGGATCATGGATCATGGATCTGAGCCTGGGCTAGGACAGAATCCGTTGAGTCGAAATTTCCAACGGAATTATGCAGCAACAGCCGCCAAAAGTTTGTTCTAGTTAGCCCAAGGCGTCTAGACTTCCCATTCCGACCCGCTTGAACCCGATATCTGGTGGCAAGCAATTGGAAACCGTCGACATGGTGGCATGGTCGCGCGACCCGCTAACTGATCATCTAATCATGCGTGTGGCTTTGTTTACAAGTCACGCCTGCGCCGCCGGCTACTTGTCGCCCAGACAGGACACGGCCTTCGCACTTGAGTGTGTCGGCAGCAGGTCCTGAAATATGTGTGAACCTTTGGCCCAGTCGAGCCTTGGCCTCGGCTCAGCTCAAGTGGCCTTGTGGCAGACACCAATTGCTTCAATATTTTGACCAGTTTGTCAAGTGCCTGCCCTGCCCCATGAAAGGTAGCCCTAATTGGTGGTCAACTGTCTGCCGGTTGCCGCCAGGACTTGTCTAGACAACTGTTCCGGGCCTCGGTAAGTTGTTTGTTTATTTATTTGTTTTGATTTGCGCCACGGGACACGGCGGTTGGCCACAATTGCGACACATTGGCCAATGACAACGTCTGTCGCCCCTAAGTGGCAACGCTGGCCACGGCGCGACGGAGGCGCATCCTCCGCATCCAACTGGCCACACGGACCACACAAGTCAAGATGAGAATTTAAGCTTACATTTACAATTAATAAAAAATTATAGATAAATAGAAATTGAAATAAAATAAAAATAAATAAAAAATGTTTATGTTATGAATATATATTCTTGATCAGGGGATAGGCAGTAAGTACATATATCGGAATCGTTTGCTTTCATAGAAACTATCGGATAATAATGGGTTTTTGTTTATAAGAATTTCCCTCATCCCCATATTAAAATATGTACTTAATCTTATTGATATTGGAGCTCTATTAAATATATATATAGCATATATGTATGCAAAAATGGAAAATACCCATTGAGTAATAAATAGATTTAATAAATAGTAATATTTTTGATATTTTAATCAATGGCCGATGTCTTAGGTAAACAATTTCTCTTTTCGCTGTTTACACATCTTTTTCTTTTAATCCCGTCTTACATATATTTGTATGTATGTGTATGCACAGCAGGCTGCGGCTGCACCAGAGCTGTGGTCAGTATGACGGTTGGAAGGGGCTATTCAAATGTTCACAGCGCGCACGCCACTGATCGCAACCCTTTTGATCCCGTTAACTTAACTATGCATTTTTGCGCATTTTGTGCCTGTGTGTTCCCTCAATTGTTGTTGTATGTGTGCGAGTGTCCGCTGAGCGCAGGTAGAAGAAGCTCAATGAGGGAAATTAGTCTGTGCGCGCATCGCCTGTTTGTCGGTCGCATTGTCTACGCGTACGATTAATGTCGGGCTCTAATATAGCTAAATCAAGCAAATTTAGTTAAACGTGCTTAGCTCGTGCTGTGTAAGTGTGTGTAGACTGTCAAATATTAATTTGTTAACCGTCGCCATTGCATTAAGCGATAAAAAAGGCGTTTAATTTATGATGCCGAAGTTTTTCACTGAACGCAAATTGGCGCGCAATTTACCATAAGCCGCATGCAGAGAGAGACGGAGAGAGAGAGTGCGCGAGAGTAATTAGAAGCTTGTCTTGAATGGAGAAGCGTGCGCTTGTATAACTATGTATATATGCTTATGTTTATTTACCGCAATTACATTGTGGTATTTATCTTACATTTGATAACCTTGCAGAGAGTCTAATTATTTCCCCACGTAATGTGTAACGTAGGCGTCTCTTCTCCCACTAAGCATATATTGCCTTGTTCGGCATCAACTGTTATATAAATCTATGTCAGAATTCATGTTTAAAAGGTGTCCTCAAATATCCTATATAGACATAGGTCCAAATTTCCCACCTCCATGTATGAGAAAGTAGACAATACTTAAGGTATGCTGATTTTACTGTGTCTAATAATTTCGAAGACTGCTGTTGACACATCTTTGATATTTTAATTCCGTTTTACATTTGTTTGTATGTGTATGTATGTATGTATGCACAGTTGGCTGCGTCTGCACCAGAGCTGTGGTTGTTATGGGGAAGGGCAGGGGTTATTCAAGCGTCTACTGCGCGTACGCCACTGATCGCAACACTTTTGATCCCGTTTCTTTAACTATGCATCGACGCAAATCCTCTCACCATGCTCTCCGTTTTTGTTGTATTAGTGCAATTGCCTGCTGAGCCTCGGGACGAGCTCAATACGGCGAATTAGTCTGTGCGCGCTTCGCCTATTAATCGGTCGCATTGTTTACGCGTGGTGTATTTAATGTCGTGTTCTAACAGGGTTAAATTAACGAATTTTTTTTAAGTGTGATAAGTTTGTGATGTGTATGTGTGTGTAAATTGTCAACGATTAATCTGTTACCCGCCGCCATTTAACCATAAAATAAGTGTTTAATTTCTGATGACGCGCCTTTGCTCTGAATGCAAATTGGCGCGCAATTCAAGAGAGGAGAGAGAAAGAGAGAGAGAGAGAGAGGGAAATCGCGAGAGTAATTTGAAGCTTTTCTTGAATGGGTAAGCGTGCTTTTGTTTTAATATGTATGTATATATTTATTTACCGTAATTAACTGGAATACATTTTGGTATTTATCTCCTCTCTTTTTTATTACCTTGGGGAGGGTATAATTGTTTTTTCACGTAACATGTAACGCATGGAACCACACGTTCATGAACAATATGAACTAACTGAACCAGTTCCGACCCGACATTGACTCGTTCAATTGAACATATTTGGGAATGCAGCGACAAAAACAGCTCCAATCAAAACCATATTTCAAACAAGCAAAGCGCACAGCAATAACAAACAATGCCGCGCGGAGGCAACCGCGACGAGGCACAAATTTAATGCACTCTCCAGTCGAGTCGGTTAATTTCCCGTCAGTGTCCCGGCTGCCACATCGTACTCTTTTGCAGCCCCATCAGGTGTTGCGGCGGCGTTGACTTTGTGGGTCGCCTCCCGCACTCTACCCCTGCCCACCCCTCCTGCCCTCTATTAGAAGCGCAAATTGTTTATGCTACTTTGTGAGCAATAAAAGCGCAAAAGGCAGGGCAGGACAGACGCGGAACCAGGCCATGTGGGTGGTCGCTATGTTGCCCCAGCCAAAGGCTGTGCCCCTGCCCCTGCCTCTGCCCCTCCCCTCTGCCCCTTTCCACGCCCTCTTCTATGTAAATGTCCGCGAGTGCTAATCACCGGCAACTCTTCAAAGTCACTCGTGTGGAATTAATCGGCGTATTGTATTGTATTTGTGCAACAGGATGTTGCAAGGATTGCGTCTCACAAATCCCTGTGGGAGCTGAATCATAATTGAATTGATTTCTGGTGAAAGCGGCCACTTGTAAGTGTCGGGGGACTGGGAGCTAGGCTGGGACCTTAATTTGACTTAATTGTGTCATTACGAGGCGCGTATCTCTGTGCTCCGAAAAGGCCTGGGAAAAGTGCGCCGCACTCAGCTCAAGTGCGACTTTGAGCACATTAACGATGATCTTGGATAGCTCTGTATTCGGTTGCAGTTTGTTGACCTTTTGATAAACCATTCGACTGGGAACTTTGCCCTCAACATCATATTGTGATTCCGTTTCGATTCGCTTTGTTGTTTCTAGGTGCATCTATTTATTTACACTTGTCAATAAAATCGACATAATTTGCATTTTGATTTGCGCCTCAGATCAACAGGCTATGAAAACAAATCATTTCTCATTTCGCAAATTTGCCAATCGCATATTTACGTCTTCATAATTTGCACTCAGTTTTCAGTTTTACGATTTTATGTGCGATTTGCCGACTTCTTCGATTGAGATCTATTTTTATGGGCCTGCAGGGCCCCCAAAAGATGTGAGGAGCTGTTTATGTCTGAGTTAAGGTGGATTCAGGCAAATTCTATAATTTAACTGTTTTATAAAACACACTTAAAATTTAAAATCAAATATTAAGCTTTTTATTTTATATTTATATTTTATTTCAAATAATATTTAAAAATAGTTTCATTTTAAATATTCAAATTCAAACGTCATTTGAGCATAAGCTTTTGGTTTGAGTCCAGGCTGTGTAACGCTGCGTAAAGTTTGAGTGTGGTGTGCGTCTAGGCTTTCGCACTATTTGGTGTGTAACTGTACTAGTTGCTGTCAAGCAGTCCACTACACTGCTTAGCGTAAGCAGTGCAAGCTATTGGCCCTGCTTTATGAACTAGTTCTGGCGGAATCACACCCCTGTATTTTTGGTCACTGTTGAATGGAACCAGTGTTTAGCTAGGACGCCAACCAATTGTTGGACGCACTGCTTGTTGCATTATTGTAATTCAAGCAGTTAATATGCATTGTATGGTAGACTTATGTCATACATGTGGCATGAGTTACTTTTTACATGGCAGCATCAGGGCAGAGCTTACAATTTATATGACAGCAGCATATTAGAGTTTTTGCCTATATGCCAACAGATCGTGTCATATATATATGACAGCTTATTACATCCAGTCACAAGTTAACATTTATACGGGTATAACAGATCATAATATTATTTGCACATGGCAGCAGTTAGCCAAGATTTTCATTTAAAGATGCCATACTTATATGCCAGATGTCATACAGCATTAGGTCACATCTTAATTTGGATAAAAGCTATGCAGCTACTTGTGAATCCTTCCTTTTAAATGTCAACAGCATGGCATACACCGTGCCGTGGCATACAGCATCATATTTATATGGCAGCAGCTGGCAGCTGCGTAAATCGGGCAGTGCCCGTTTTTGACTGTTTAAATTAATGAGGTTTCACTGTACTCTATTACGAGAGAGAGAGAGAGAGAGAGAGAGAGAGAGAGAGACAGCAGCTAAAAGTCGGTGAGTCGTTAATCTAAATGCTAAGATTTATTTTAGATTGCAAAAACTTAAATTATGAACCGTGACATACTCCACATACTCTACATTCGGCTAGCACAGTAAACACTCTTGAGTGACGGACGTGCATAATTATTACAGCTATTTAGACACGAATCACAAGCAGCTAATACGAAATTGAATACTCTAAAATTAGGAAAATGATTAAAAGAAAATGTTTCCATTTGCTTTGCTTTCTTTTTCTTCTTTTGTTTCTCCTCCTTTTTTTTTTTTGGCAAATTAGAAGTCGCGCGTTTTGTTTGTGTTTCAGTTAGAAATTGGGCTAATCTTGAAGTTAATGCGGATTGTTGCTGTTGCCCGCCTCCGTCGGGGGCGAGGGGTAGAGCAGCTTGCCGTCCGAGTAGCGCATCAGGGTCATCATCTTGAGCATGCGCAGCTCCTCCTTGTCCCGACTGGACCCGGTCGGAGCCTGCTGATGGGAATGGGGATGATGGTGGTGGCTACTGCTCGGCCGGCATCGCGTGCGATCTGCTGACTGGTCGGGTCTTTAAAATACTCAAGTCATTAACATTCTCTAAAAAGCTTTTGTTCGCTGACAATTGTTTCACGCTCTGCACGTCCTTCTTCAGCTCCTCCATGTCGCGCTTCAGCTTGGCGCGTCGATTCTGGAACCATGTGATCACCTGTGGGTGCGAAAAGGTTAGAAAGTTCCAAAAAAAAACGACAACTCGACTACACTCGGAGAAATTCTTGACTTGCTGATAATAAAGGCAAAATGCGCTATATTGAGTGCAGAAAATTTAAATTTATATAAATGAAGAATTTTCTTCTTTTCGACTTGAAAAATTCCAAAATTAAGAAATTTCTTCTAAGCTTAAGAAATTGAAATGTTCTCTGAAAATGTTTTCGATTTGTGTTTCAAGACATCGCAGAGTTAAAATATTCCAAAATAAAGATTTTTTTTCTCATAAGTTGAAATCTCAGAAATTTGATGAAGAATTTTCCTCTCAGCTCTCAAAATTTGTTAATCTACTCCGACCAAGTACACTAATCGTTTCTCTGAGTGTATTTGAGAGCGTATTGCATTTTAATACTCACCTGCGCATTGGAGAGACCCAAACCGGCGGCAATCTCATCGCGATCCGCTGGCGACAGATATTTCTGATAGAGAAATCGTTTCTCCAGCTCAAAGATCTGTTGATTCGTAAATGCGGTGCGCGATTTGCGCTTCTTCTTTGGATTCGATCTCGTGGCAAAGATGTTCAGCGTGGCGGGATCTGTAATAGAATGCCATAAATAACGATTACAACTGTCGAACTGTCGCACTGAAGAACTGTCAAAGCTGGGCAACAAAAGAGGCTCGAAATCTCTGATCTGATGCCTCCATAAAAAAATGTGGCTCTATTAAGTTTTCCGGCTTTCCTTGGGGCCACTTTCCACACAAAACGCGCACTAGTTAAAACAATTTCGAATGGAAACGCTCATAAAATAGAAGAGTGTGTGGAATTTGCTTTGTTTTATATTTATATAGACACAACGCTTGGATGTTGGCCGATCGTCAAGTTTTTATGGCCCCGGCCACAGTTTGGGGCTTGTTTTCTTAAGCGCTTCGATTGGCATTTGATTCGGTTTTGATTCAGTTTTGATTGCCGGCATTTGTTTTGTTAGCATGTTTAAAGGTAATACGCACGCTGATTGATTTTTTCTTGGGTCGGAAACCATATTGAGCATTGTTTATTTACCCGAAATTTGTATCTTTCATTGATGCCCATCAATTTGTGCAGACATGGCCTGAATTGCGCTTGAAATAGCAGCGGAAATGGCGGGTAGGAAATGCTCGGCGAGTCTCTCGGGGCAATGGCAGCTGGTTGCGCGGCTTTTAACCCCCAAAAGTTGTTGTTAAACATGAGGAACAATTAACAAATTGAGATGCGCCGCGATCCCTCAGCAGTCACAAGCAACAAGCACCAAGGACGAAGGACTACGAGTCGATCAAGGGGTTGTTTTTGCGGTTTTTCTTTTTCTTTTTTGGGGCTGTGTTTAACCCAGAGCCATTTTGACACCCTTGTGATGTGTTTATTCTTAAGTCCATTTATCTAGACCGGTCCGAAACGCCCTTCTCTAGTCGAGCTGCAGGCCAAGGGTAGCACGCGCATTATCATTTAGGTAAAACAACATTTGTATATAAAACGATAATGCATGGAAAGTCACGTAATTATATTCAGATAGTTCCAAGATATAGAGGTATTCCAGGAAATTCCAACGGCAAGTGTGGACAAATCGCGAAACCTATGCCCATATGTATGGATATATAGTTATAGATGTCGACATAGATAGGAAGAGATGTAATTTGAAATGTTCATCAATCTAGCTGTGTCGAGCTTATGTAAGTGACATTATTATGTGGCAGCTGTTTGCCGTCCAAGGCTCAATCGATGCGCTGTAATAAATTCGAATTTGCCAAAAAAAAAAAATCCCCGCTAGTTGCCAATTAAACTTTGGCCAAAAAAGTGCGCCCCTCCTTCAGTTTTGTTGTGTGTAACATGTGTGCCACGCCTCTCATTAGAGTTACATTTCGTAGGTGTGTGTGTGTGTGCGCGAGTGTTTGTGTGTTTTTTGGCCATTTGTTGCGCTTTATTAATTATGAAGCCAGCACTGGGGCTGGCCAAGTCGTGCTCCCAGTCACCCAGTCCAGTCGCAGTTGCACAACGAGCCGAGGCTCATTCAAATTGGCCAAATGAATTATGGCCTGCGCCCACAAAAGAGCGAGGGCATGGGGGGTGTGGGGCGGGGGGGCGGGGCAGTGACATGTGCAGAACAAACAATGTCATCAGCATAACTAATCAGAATGACAGGCGACTGAGCGGGAGAGCGGGAGAGAGAGAGAGCGGCAGGGAGAGGGAGTGGGGTGTGCTAGGCAAAAGCTAAGGAGCTGCTGCCGTTTGGGCCAAAATAAGCATAAGTTATGCCCACTGGCCAACAGCGTGGCTAATTGAGAAAACAAACTAAACAAGACAGACAAGAAATACGCTCCAAGCCGAACTTTAAATACCCTTACGCAGAGCGGTATGCACACAAATAAATGCATAAGATGAGAATTCGTTTAGAGCTATATTCCAATTGCTAAATATGGCCTTTTCTTTTGTTAACAGTAACAGCAGCTAAGCTTGAACTGGCCACTTCTCTTTTGTAGGTTCGACGCTCAGACAGTAGAGCCTGAAGCGCACAATTTAACTCTGCTTTACTTTTGATGCTTTTAGTAAATTAGCTGTCCAGCTTTCGAGTCTGGACAAACTCTTGTCTATGGAATCCACACAGCTATTTTTCTCTATATCCATGTATATCTAGCTATATCTATATATATCCAAGTATATGTATATCTATTTATATTCATCTATTTAAGTCCATCTATATCTATCGATATCCACTTATATCTCTGTCTAAATCTCTATCTAATCTCTTTTCAAATGCGCGCCACATTTTGTCATAATTTGAATATGCCCTATTCAAGAGCATAATGACGCATTGTCCTCAGAATACGGGCTTGGTTCTTCTAGTCCTCCATTTCCAGCTCCAACTGACACACGCATGGGTTATCCATATATATAACATATATATATATATGTACAGTTGTATATATATATATATGTGTGCTTGTGTGTGCGTGCCTTATCGCCAGATCAAAACTGGGCTCGCTTCTGGGCCTAATGGCGTTGGCGTTAGGTAATTAGGTAAATTAAGTAGCTGCACACAAATGAAAGGCAATTCATTAAACGTGACTGCAGCGAGTATTATTGTGGCGTGTAAGCAGGGGGCGCACTGTACAGGTCTCACAACTGCTCAAAAGATAAACCCAGACTCGGCTGAGCATCTCAAATGTGTCAAATGTGGAATGAAAAGCAAAACCAGAAGCAATTATGTTAATTAAGAGAAAAGAAGAGAGAGTGAGCGAGAGAAAGAGAGATTGGGAGGAGGAAACGTTTCAATTAAAGCCAACTGGAGATCAATCAGGCATCAGCTATCAGCTGCAATCAGGCCGCCGGCTGCGACAGGCCTAATAAAGTGCAGGGCACCTAATCCGCAGCTAAAAGCCTCGAGGAGCTCGATCAAGCTGGCCAAGATGTGTATCGGCTAGGAAAAGTGTTTTCATCAGCACAAGGTGCTCGTTTCACACGCTCGTCAAATGTGCCGCAGAGATTGTAAGATGAGCTGCGCTACCTAACACCCAGATTAGAGATGGGCATGGATCGCGTTTTTCTGGGCACGAGGCGCACGATTTCCAAAGTAATAGAACTTGTTCCAGGAACATGAATAAATATAATAAAGTTTAATAAATAAAGCATATTGCGAAGTTTCTATGAACTTAACTTCATTTTAAATGAAAAACCTTTTCATATTACACAAATAAACTGCTTGAAAAATAAAAAAATAAAATGTCATTGGACTTAGCTCAGTCGTGCCTTATTTTCAAGTTATCTTTTTTGTTCAAAAATCAATTTGCATTAATTATTTGCCAGCGTAGTCAAAACCTTTTGACCCTAATATACTTTTTCCGTGCGTGCGTAAAATAAAAAGCTTCGTGTTCGTGTTGGGCCGATCACGACTCGCGTCCATCTCTAGTCCAGATATATAGATACAGCAGGAGCATGACTTGAGGAATGTGTTGTGTGTGTGTGTGTGTGTCGGCAACGGAAGACTCAATTAGAAGCCGCTTGTGGGGATTTATGAGCACCAGGAATTTCACATTTTTTGGGTTAGCCTGGCTAAATACCTGCCAATAGCTTTATAAGTTTGCCGCCGCCCGGCTGGCCGAGGGCAGAAATTATGACAAACCGTCGACCTTCGAAATGCAAAAGAGCCGCGCTTGCGAGCAGCGACAAAGAGTTTTGCTAAAAGCGTTAATTACATCCCCCAGACCCCCACAGACCCCGGCCCGGGCCCTTTTACTGGGACTGGGACTCGGAGTCGGGTCCCAGAGCCCGGAGCCCGGAGCTGCAGAGCGGACCACAAATTGCGTTGTCCAGAAGCTCGAAAGCGTAATCAAAAACTAATTTTAATCCTGTTTGGGGCCACGCTGATGAGGGATCAGATTAATGCGACGCACTCACTCAGCAGCAGCAGAGGGTGGATGGAGGGGGGGGGGAGTGGTACGGGGGGAGACGAAGTTGAAGAGGAAAACAGAGGCGAACAGAACGATCGGCGATCGCTTTAGCGGTAGGTCCACGTTAATTTATTCTAAATGGCTTTTTGAAAATCTCAGAAACAACACAAGAAATTTACTTATGACGTTCGCAGCGCAGTTGCGATTCCAACAGCTAAAATGTGCTTGAGTCTGGACTGGATAATACCCTGTAAAATGCGGAGCATATGACAATATGCATATATGCTTGCATATACAATGTGATCTTTACCCCGTAACAGTTCTGTATCACTCGTTCTTAAATAACTTCTCTGTTTATAAGCCTATCGCTAGGAAATTTTTAGAGCATAAAGATGTGACCTGCTAATCTTAATCTAAACTTTTTTGATTAGAAAAAAGGGGGCCCAGCTCCAGTACTCCACAATAGCCTACATAGCAAATGTAATGTCTGCAGCTTTTATAATCTATGGTATCTGAGCAAGAGCCTCGGCCCGCAAATCAACATTTATCGATTTCGTTCACCAAAAAAAGTCTGTGAAGTTTTGCATATAAATGTCAATAAATTTTGTTTTAAAATGTTTTAATATTTAAGCTCCATTTTCTCTGGAATAGCATAGCTAATATTCTCTAAGTTTAAACAAATTGGAGAAAACACAAAATAGTTTTTAAACTCAGCAAATTTCACATTCACAACTTAGTTCTGTATTGTTGGGCATAATATCCTTTAAATAAAATAAACGGTCTACATTTTATAAGATCAACTTAAACGGAATTTGTATGTTAATTTCAAATAAAGTTGCATGTTTTAAATTTCGAAAATATCACAAAAAATGTACATAGGAATTGTTGTATATTGTGGGGTGAATTTTGCCTGTAATCAAGGCAGGATTCAAATGGAAGTTCTGGAGTAATAGATATATTTACAGTATGCAGATATTTATTCTCTGAAGATAGGAATAATGACAGCATTCGATTGCTGATCATGAATATGTTTACTTAGAAGGGTTAAGTCTCTGCCTGATACAAACATTAGGTCCAAGTCAATATACTCCTTTCGAAAATCTTGACAGGGTGCACAATACGTAATATAACCACAAAATCCCAGATCAGAGACAGAGAGAGAGGGAGAGAGAGAGA